TCTTTTCTCTCCCTCTACTCTGGAGGTTTGTTTCCAGGAATAGGATCATGATAATAACCGATACTCAGCTAGAGTAAGTATTATCTACAGCCCAATAAATAAGACTATTTATAATATAACTAGATTATTACGCCCGCTCTGATTGGCCAAAAACCTGCACGCTCGCGCACTCTGATCTCAACGGACGCTCGCCTTTTTTCTCTAAATTTTCAAACCCGATGGCGTCAATAGCGCGCGCACGAGCGAGATGTGTGATATAACGCGCGCTCTGATTGGYTGAAATGCCTATGAACTATTTGCCCATGGGTCGCACGGTAGWTTTTTGGTCATATTATAAATCAGTTARACGACAAAAAAGCGCTCGCCCATGGCGATATAGACGYACTTRAGAAWATATAAAGAACTCTTAACAARCTARAGTGTCACTCGGCTTCGYCTCGTGCCACTCTTTCGCTTGTTAATCGTTCTTTATATTTTCTCTCGTGCGTCTATATSGCCATGGGCGCGCGCTTTTATGTCGTCTAACTGATAAATAAATCAGCTCTTATWAACCGAGTGCGAGGTCCGTACYGCTATGGACCGCAAATTGACCAACCATAGTACGTGAAATTACCTTGYCTTATAATAATAACAAATATGGCCCTCCACATACCGATAATATTGGTTGGTCATTATAAAATCCTTCTTGATCCTGCTCCTCGTCAATATCATCCAAGCCYCGGTTTTCAATACCGAGCGACTGGGTACCAGAACTTGAAGCAATGCTCTGTAACTCCCTCTCAGGCTCAGCTTTTAATTTCTGTGAGAAAGATGATTAGTAAAATAGCTAGTAAATTACTGCGATAAATTTTATGGATGTCGAGGAAGACGACAAAACTCATGATAAATGAAGCATCGTAAACCTGACCGGTTGTCGCCATGTTGGTTCGTAGAGARCTCTAAACGGAGCATTCTCGAGAAGCCAAGGGTAAAATTTTGCCGCTAATTCTCGCTCGCTCCCAGAAAAAATTGAGAAGCAGAATATAATACTACTATTCCCTTGAAAATGATAAACTGAGAGTGCTGAAAKCATGTTGGGAATTTTTTTAAGATCCATGCTTCAAAAATGTGGAGGCATACTTCCAATCATTACCTTTCTTTATTATTATCATAATATTTTGTTKTTGCTTAAAAAATACACGCCGTTTTAAAGTTTATTCAAAACCTTTATGAAAGTAATGGTCTGTAGTCCATTTTCAATTGTTGCCGCCATGTCATGTTAAGCTGTTGGTAAACTTTGAGTCACTAATGAAAGTGTATTACGAATTTTGATTGTTTTATTGCCATAATAATTTTTGATTCATTTTTGATTTTAAAGTTTTACTTTCCTCCTTGTTTAAGAAATACGAAGATGCTTTTATGAATATTTATTTGCCTCATTAAATTTTCAAACCAGCTCTACAAAAGCAGTTATAAAAAGCGTGTTTCATGCTAGAAAATCTTCAAAAATCTGGCATAGAAATTAACGTCTTTAGTCGTCAAAACAAACCTSTTTCAAGACACTATATGTAAAGCAAATATTTCGTACTTCTTGTAATAAAAACCCTGCGAAATATAATCTAGATTTATTTCACGATAAACGAACATTAAATCTTCGATTTGTATTTCTTAGTACAAGGAGAAAAAAAGAAGACGAATAGAAAGTTCCGGAAAAAAGAAAAGCTTGCTTAAATTAAACCAACTTCGATTTGTTTCGTGTTTGAGAATAAAGTTAGTACTAATATGCTATTGATTGTTTCGTTCGCTGAGGTCATTGTCTTCTGCTCTGTTTAAACGGCCTTGAATATACCAGGTGCTAGGGTTTCTAAAAACACTATCGAAACTGATTCCTTAAAATAACGAACAACTTCCTTTGACAACTTACAACAAAGACATATTTAGATACTCCGATTGTCATTACAAAGCAACTATCGGTTCAATGTCTTCAATGTCTGATTATAAGCAATTTTTGCTCTAATTATAATCTCAAAGTCTTTTTCTTGCGTTTAGGATAAACGATAAATATTGCAAATGAAGCAGGAAAAGTATATTAAATGTTACAAGTTGTCTTTACTTACCGAAGGGTTTGGCTTATCGTTTGGAGAAGGGGTTGTAGCAGTTGAAGCTTCAGGTTGTTCGGCACTGTTTCCAGTGATGTATGAAAAGAACTCTGATATCCACGCCATTTCCTCGTAAAGCTTTCAAAAACAAAGGCTTCCTCTTTTTAAAGCAAGGCCCGCTCACTTTGAACTCTGGCAAAAATTGAAATAAAATTTGTTGAACGGTGATGATCCAAATCTCACATTTTCGACAAAATAACATTGAAACTAATTATTGTATCATGTAGTTGGTAACTAATCTTATCTCCACAAAAAACTCAGACAGAAATAAACCTAAAAGAAGAAAGCTGGAGCCCAGATCGAAAAAAAATAAGTTCTATCAAGCTTAATAAAAAACCTTGTAACTTAAAAGAGAAGTAAGAAAGACCTCTCTAAGTGGATCATTATTACTATGTCTCGCATGATGTAAAAGGCCGATATTTTTTACTGCTTGTATACTGGTACTCGTCATRTATTCAACAATACTTCCGACATATAACTATGGTGATTATTCTCACTCTTTATCATTGGGAGAAACTCTTTTCTAGAATTCACTCACGGTTGTCGTGGTAACCAACAAGGCGTCTCTCCCTTTCATGATTTGCAATTTCTGCTCTTTATATTTGGTAGCCTTGTRTTTGGTCAGAAAAGAGCACACAATTGTTGAATTTGTATTAAATAATAAYATTTTTTCTGAATATTTTTTTTGTTTTTCTTGATTTTATTATAATTTGCCTGGAAGACAAGTAGCAAAGAGATTAATGACAAAGCTGTTAAGAACTGCTAGCGACACCGCACGTAAACCATACAGGTTGTAGCTATTATGTCTCCGTATGACATACACAGAAATGACTAGCYACAGTCATCAATATTCCCTTCGCAACAACGACAAAAGGGGACTCATAAAGTACATTTCAAATTACTAAAACATAAAGAAGAGACTTGCCCTTGAGATTCCAGTAAAACTGCACATATTTTGCATAATTATAATAATGAATAATAATAAGCTTTATTTATGTGTACATTAGAGTGCAAAAAATATATTTATGAAACACTAATTACTAAATTGTTCAAAATAGTGCTAGTTAAACAAAAGAAAACAATAGAATTAGCACTGATGAAATAGTGTAAGTTAGTATTACTTATATTTCACGGATATATTCGGTTTGCACTCTATACCTAGTCCTTTAAAAATATATAGAATAACCAAAAAACGTACTAAGTCTTRTTTTACGAGGGTTAGCACTAAATCTCCAGTTTGGTTGCATAAACTATTG